TTGCATCCTGGGTGCTTATATTTTTATCATGTTCCGTATTTCAATGATTGGGGTAAGTCGGGAACAACAATAGTGTACATAACCTTCTACTGTTTTGGAGTATTTTGAGCTTTTGTGCACGTTCGATTGCTCATTTTTTGTCTGCATTTTCACGTGTGAGCGGTCCGTCCAATTTCCTCCTCATCTATTCTGATCGATTGAGCGCATCGCTTACCCCTGACCGATCCATGCTGGTTGCTCTTGGTTCCCTATAATTCGAATAAAATGTATATACAACGGAATTGATATGAGGTACACAGCACTTACTTGACTTGCTAATGAATTTCTGATTGACAAACGGATGTGTTTGAGAAGCGTTTTGTGTTATAAAATGGACAGAAAACCTCGACGAATTCATCCGTTTAATTCTGTTCTGTACATTCTCCAGAGACTAACTAAATAGAAGAATGAACAGGTAAACGAATGTATTCAAGCCATAGAGATTCCAAAGCAATGGTCTCATGTTTGTTCCCTGTAAGTGTTCGATGACAATTCGGTTTGTAGACCTATTCATTTTCATTGCGATCGACAAGCACTCCTGTTATATGTATCGTGCGAATATCGTTGAATAAACGAAGTGGGAAAAATTTACTCCCAATACCTCTTGATTTCATTAGCATATTGATTGGAGAATTGACGTAGACGCAAAAAGTGAAACGAAAATACCAAATTCGATGACGCAGGGAATAGCGTGATTAATGATGAATAAGGTTTTGAACCCCTGTGGGAAGGTTGATCACAGAAAACCGTACTGATAAATATACACTTAAATTCGGTCAACCGTTGCTAGTGGATTGTGATTTCACCAACTTGGCAGCAGGCATTGGTCAAGATCGAGAGCGCTAGTCCGTCCAAAAACACGGTTGACTGAATAACACGTTTCTGCGTGACCTTAGCAGACTCAAGCTGTCTAGTTTCTCTCCGAATTTTCACGACTGGACATAGACCGTGGGACAGTCACGCGTTTGACACAAATCGATGTGCCTTCGAAGTTAGCAGATGAACTCTGAAGAGGCCTACCGAAAATATGGAAGCCTTTGCATCAAAGCCAATTGTGAGTCCATTACCGTCAATATCAGCAGCGATGAAAACAAATCAGTCCATATTATTCGTTTCCAACACTGTCTCAAGAGTGCGTTTTTCGTTTTTACTCACATTGTATCCGACTTAAACATTGGGTGTAGGAAAGGATATTTGTTCAATGATACCACTCATTGATACTCCAAATGTGTTCCATAGCGATTTCAGGAAACGGATCTTGATTTGTAGACGGGAAACTTGACGAAGAGCTCAGCGCATAGACAGCTACATTTCATTGTTCAATCAGGTGGATATCTAAAAGAACCATAGGTGCTTCAGCGAAATCTGTGTACCGGACTTAGCAAACAGTCTTACGAACTATATTTCTCAATAAAAAGCTCTTGTCGATTTCCTTGGAATCGCCATCGGATTAGGCTCATTTGATTTAGAGTCCTCAAGCGTCAGGCATTTATTTTAAAATATCAAAACCCGTTCCAATTTGGAATTATTCTTCCACTTTACAGTTGAGCCGTTACATTTCATCTGTCTGAGCAGTTTTCATATTCGCTGAAGAGGGCTAATTTAACACTTCCACGAAGCCATTCTTATTCAGCAAAACCCTCTTCTTTTGCTCGTGAAACCATGGTGTTTGGGTATTTTTAGACAAGGCTTCTATGATTTGCTATTTCATCTCCGAGGGCTCAGTTTTCGAACATACACAAGACACAAGACTGTGGGACTCTTCTCTGGTCAATATCTCACTTGTGCGATTTTTCGGAACTCGTTCGTAAGATTTTTCTTATCCTAGCAACCAAGTGAACCATACCTCGACAAACTTTCCTTTTAGAATTCACAGTCTGTGGTGTTGTTTTTTAGTTGAACCAAACTTAATTATCTAATTATAGCGAACGAATTATCCTATGTTTCTTGCTTTTAATTGACTCAACCTGAAGTTAAAATGAACATTTTGCGTAAACTAGATCATTTCAGTTGGGATCAGCTAAATGCACAAAGATAATATGGGTTTTGCAAGCAATCAGACAAATACAGTCCAGAATCGCTTCTATCATTGACTGCGTTGTGACTTACTGCGGTTAAGGGCGACTGAGCGTAAAGTGTGAAAATAATTAAACTTTATCCTTTCCAAATGTATCGCTTAAGCTGATCCCGCTTTGAAAGACTACTAACCCCACAGTCGTTTCCGGTACTGATTGGAATATCGATTGCTTAACCTTTGACGGGCCGATGCCTCCTACATCGACTGTTACATGTATGCGTTCGATACCCGTATACATGCACAGACTGTCTGCAACTGATCCAGATGTATTTGTATATAGCCGCGAAAAAACGCTTGATTGATATGGAATCTCGGGAAGAAACGAATTTAATACTGCATCATCACGCTCTCTGCATGCCAGTGTAGGTTTATTCTTGAACGGAGGAGTGTAAGTGGGATCGATGGGTTAAGTAAGTTGCTTGGGCGCAAATGTTGCTTTTAAGTGACTGGTAAGAAGGTTGGCGATATCATTTTTTTTGATGCTAAGATGAGTTGTGGGTCGCAATAACAGGACGAATAAAATGGTAGATATTCATCATATTAAGAAAAGCATCGTCGTTCTGTCTCATATCTTTAAATTTCCTTCTGAATGCTATATCGACAGTCACCAAAACGACTCACTTTGCTATGTCGTTCTTTACACCCCTCCATTTCGTATATCTTGCGATATCTTGCGATAAATATATTCATGTGTTCTAGGCGGAAAACAACAGGAAGTTCCGCATATCTGTCCTGTATTTGTCAAAGGAAAGGGATCTTCCATTTCCCT